GCTTGGGCAGAGCTGTGCCGGGGTTACGGCAGGGAGCGGGCAGTGATTGCTACACCCACCTTTGGGAGGAACTGAGGGGAAGCAATTGCTGTGGCACAGGAGGGGAGTAAAGAGCTCGCTGGCCTTGGGCATCAGCAAGGTGCGGCCTGAGCAGGGCTTGCTCCTTGACAGGAGATGCTCCTTGGAGGCTCTGCTCGGGCCACCACTGTACGCAGGACCCGTTGTTATTCACGCGTGTGTGCCCACGTGCCAGAGAGAAACTGCACGTGACCCTTTTGGCCATCGCAGGGAGCATTCCCGTGCCGCTGCAGTACTGTGTCAGCCCTCCCCTGCGATGTCCAAGATCATTATCGGTGGTGTCAGGAGTGCGACCGCTGTCCCCTTTTCACCAGGGCCCCAGGTGGGGCACAGCGAAAGCAAGAGCTGCCTCTTGCTGGAGTAGCAGAGGAAGGACTTGAGCTCCAGCCCTTGTGTTATGGCCAGTGCTGTTCCCGTGCTCTCTGGGAAGGGTTTCCTTAGAAGCTCCAGTCTCACCACGTAATCATCTCTTGGTGCTCCTCTCTTGCTCTTCAAAAGCCGGAAGGAAATTTTAAAAGATGGCAAGGCCGCTCTGGAGTTTCAGTAGCCGGACTGCGGAGAGGATGCTTGGGTTGTGCTTGAGTCTGCTATGCTGCCAGCTCAGCCCTGCAGACTGTGGGTTTGGGGGCCTAGAGGGACCCTGAACTCTGGGAAACGGTCTCTTGTGTGGGCAGACTTAGTCCTTTCAAAGAACACCTGGTTTCATTTGTCTCAAGATTTACCGTTTCTTTAAAACGATGGATGGGATCGGCTCATGAGCTGGTCACTAAGCTGGAAAATATCAGCTGAACGCATGGGTCTTACGGACGTGTCCGTGGCAGCGTGGCTCCATCTCGTTAGCCAGTCCTCTCCAAAAAATGGAGCTTTTGAGAGCATTTTATTAAAAGCGTGTCTGCATCACAGGCCTCCCCACCACCCCCACGATGTGCGTTGAACCCATGGCACGTACAGGCGAGAGAGACCCCTTGTCGCTGGCCCTGGGCAAGAAATAGCTGCAACTCTGACCCAGTAGAAAGAAATAAGCAAACGCTTCCACCGCAGCACACAGGTCTGGAGGAAACCCGGCTTCCTGAACCCGGCGCCTGTCGGGTTCCCGGCCGCCCTGGGTTCCTTCGGTGCCTGCCGTGCTGCGGGGGCTCGCGCTCAGCTTGGGCCGGGCCCGCGGGCGGCCGCCGCCCGGGGG